GCCGGCTAGGACAAAGCGACTCTGCCACTCTCGTCTTCGTTTACTCGAATTCCAATCGGCATCTCCTGATTGAATTTGTGCAAACCTACAAACAGTTCAGCTCCTGTTTGAATACGTGAACTTGAACTTTTGTCACGCTAAAATCAAAACAAGGAATTATTCGGTTTCAGACCCATTCTTTGTTTATATAATTGGAAACGAAGAGCAGTTCTATGCGCCTACCAATGCAATGGAAACATCACCTTAACCATTTGTTTCTTTAGGAACTCGTAGGTTCAGCGTGAGTAACTTGAACGTAGAAGGTGTAGTTCAATCACAGTATTTTGCTGCTTTGAACGACTACACACAGGATTCGGTAGACTCAACAGTCACGGCCGCACTTCCAATCAGAAAAGGAAAACACACAACGTAACGAAACATCGTCTATGCACAGCCAATACGCAGTAATAACTAGAATTTTTCGGTTCAGGGGTATGTATATCATGGGTATATATTGGAACAGTGGCATGCTGGTGCCACTCAAGTCTCGGATCACGCCTTGAATCTTTCTACGTACAAGTGACTCAGCAATTATTTCTCCTAACCGACAAGTAAGTGTGAAGTCAATGGACACATGTAAAATATTTTGCTCATTGATAAGTGGATGTATAATGAAGCATGGTTTTCCATTAAAAGTCATGAAAGTTACTGTTTGTCGGTATGTGATCAGGAAATAAAGATATATTTCAGTCTTAGTAAAACCAATAATAAAATCAACAAATATAACGCCAGTCATATAATGAAGGCACGTGAGCCACTGTAAAAACTCAATGTTAAGAATGACCAAGGAAGTTAAACTGTGATTTTTCGCAAAACTTGGGTATAAAATTTAGACCTGAAAACTTTATAAACTATAAAATTCCGTAATCTTTTGAATAACCTCCGTGTAAATTGTAAAACTGTAAAACTGTGTTAAAAAAACTTTGATGGTCTTGAAAAATATTATTAGCATTTAATTCAAGGTACTCTCTAATAGACTACTTATTAGTTTCCAATCCGTCCAACGTTCTCCTGAGAAAATATAGACTAGGGAACTAAGAAGCCTTCACCGTTTTCTGATGATGGTGAATATTAAATTTTTAATGAAATTTTAACCCACGCGCACCCGTTAAATTTTGCATTTTCAATTTTCCAATTCGAATAAAATATGATAGTGTTTTTTAAAACAAGAGTGACCTGACCGCAAAAAAAAAACATTTAATGAAAACAGCTCGCACGTTCATTCAAATTTTTGCACATAACGAGGATGAAAAATATTCTCAATCGAAACAGGTTTGATTCTGAAAAATATATCCAAGAAGTAAATTACAATTTTATCGCTGACTGAACAATACTAGGTAACTTTCTCAATCGTCGTCGGTCATTACATTCGTAAATTCATCAATTATAACTGTTTCTCTTAATTTAGTATTTTAAAGCAAAATCTTTTAAAATTGTTACACTTGCTAACAAATATTTCGAGTTGCGTAGAGATTGGCAGTCTGGTATTTAACGTAAAATTAATTTGAGAATAACGGAACATAATAAATCTATATTTTCATCATGCCTGAAATCAGTCATAAGAAATTTCGTTGTGTATATCATGTTAAGACTGTGGCAGTGCATACAAAAATTAACAGTCGAGGAGACAGCCGCCTTCATCGACAGCTTTGATTTCGACTACGACTTAGCGATGACGCCAACAAATCATTTCTGCCCCAGCCAGAGCAAGATAGAACTCGTCTCATCCGGCAACCATCCCACCATGAAGCACATGTATTTCCAACCGCTGCCTGAAATCTACGATTACCTCGACCATGTCGCCAATACCCACAACTTAGATATCTTATTCAGGATATGCGTGGCGTGCCGTGCTGAATTCTGAACATCATGGCGGGTTTACGACACAATTTACGACACGGACACTATCTCAAATTATCGACACTGAATGAGTGCTCAGCGATATGGTTCTTGCTAAAAGTCATAATGATTTCACGAGTATTTTTTGAATTTAAGACTGTGTTAATTCATGCTATTATATTATACATTAGATCATGGTTGAAGATGTGAGACGCAAATTGAGATCAGACATACGAATACTTCTTTCAACAGCTGAGTATCGAGGCGCTATTTACTCTCGTTAATATTAATTAAATAATTTTCAAAAGACTAGGTTATTGACTCCGGCAGGCAGTAAACTGTGTCCACTGAACACAAATGGTAGCACTTTTAATCGAATGTTTTTCTTTGGCATAACGTCCGTAATTTACAGGCGTCTTGAATTTGTAAGCGGAGTCTGTGCTCATCTGACGAGTTTGATGCAGTTTGAAAAAAAATACTTAAAGGGAAAGTTGCTTTTCGAAGATGATTGAAAAAATTGTGCTGCTGGATCTATTGTCCGATTCAAACTTTTGTGAATTGACAAATTTTTTGATGCCTCAGTTGTAAAAATCAATGTTTTAATGAAATGTTTATGTTTTGTTCAAAAATTCTATGAAAAACATTTTTACAATATTATAATCTAAATTCTAAGTTATAATGAAACATTTTTTAGTTGAGTAATCGTGTAAGTTGTGTAACCACTAAATTGTGTAAGTTGTGTAACCGAGGTGTAAGGAAGAGGGTAGGAGGGCTGGTAGGCTAGAAGAACTTCATAGCATCAATCGATTTGAGCCAAATTTTGTTACTGATTAATTAATATTTAAGTAAATATTATTGCCTTAATAACTTATAGGTTACCTTTCGAAAAATTAGTATTATAGTAAAAATTGTGCTGAAATTTAGCTTTTTTTTTCTTGCAAATTTAAACGGCTTTGCCGCTACTGTGGAATTTTTTTATTTGGGAAATACTGAAAAACAAATTGATCGGGCAATTTTACACATAAAAAAACATTGTAGGATAGTGAATTAAAAAAATTATTCTCGCTTCACACTTTCGTACACGACGAGCATTTTAAAAATTTATTTGCATAATAAATGTTAGAAAAATCAAATTCGTCCTCTAAACACTGTGTAATGATGGTTGAGTAATGAGTATCTAATTATCACCCTATCATTTCAGTTCCATTTCTTGCTATATCTAAGCCTCTTTTTATTTCTAGGCTTACTAGAAAACCGTTCTAATAGGTAGAGACTACGAATACTTTAATTATGTAAACTCGAAACTCCAAGGTTTACAGTGTCAATATTCGAGTACCAATGACTAAAAAATTCACAGCCTAAATTTGGAATTCTAGAACGTTTTTTTCAATTTCAGATTCAATTCAATTTTCAATTTCAATTCAATTCAGAACGTCAATATTTGAAAGCATCAGTTATCTTCCAGTGCTTAAATTGATTTGAATTTTACAGCGTATCAATATTGTAAACAATTACATTGTTTTTCATTTTAAATTCATCCAAATGAATGTACCCTAAGTTTAACTAACGCTTGCGCTAATAAAATAAAATTTCTAACTGCGACTAAATTAATCATTTCCGGCAATATTTACAGAATTTTAATGTAAGACGAAGATGAGAGTATTTATTTAAAATGACGACGATTTTTCAAGAGTCTCACTGTATTGTATTTGTATTTCACTCCGTCCTCTCCTACAGTTAGACTTAAATCAAAAGATGATTGTTTAATATGAAAATGATTTTACGAGGTTCAAAAATTCAAGTTGTTTGCAGACTGCCAGTTAGCAAACGAGGCAGTACACTGTTAGAAAAATTACCGTTAACGGTATAACCGGCGTTTCAGTGGCCGGTCGGCACGTGAAGAGAAACACCGCGTCGCCGTTTTAATTCTAATTTAACACTAGAAATCCGTAAAACATCCTGATAAAAACGGCGAAACAGTTCATTTTCACGGGGCGAGCGGCTATATACTAGAACGCCAGTGGGACCGTTTTTTCACCATTTTTTCTAACATTCTAGAATATGAACTCTATTCAAATAACAGGGATTTTTGAACCTGCAAGGCGGCGCTCATATATGGCCTGGGTCTGCTACGCTAGAAACTCATACTAGGGAAACGGAAGATATCCTATTCATACATTTCTTCAGAGACCACCAAACGGTCGCTTGGATAACGATCAAATAGTTCACGGAATGCCATTAAACTAAATACTAGTATGTTGATGATAGCTAACTTTAACTATCTTTAAATAACTTGGTATTGACTGGATAGATAAATTATATACTGGAGATGAAAGTCAACGACGTCATTGTTCATGGATGGAGTTGGAGTAAGACTCATTTTTAGCCCAGCACGTAACCAAACCAACCTTCTATAATATAATATTCTAATATAATATAATATTCTAATAATAATAGGATTGGGTCAACTTTGATTAAGCGATGGTGACCAGATGCCGATTCTTATCCACCAGGGGCCCTACTTTTAAAACTCGCCAAGTGAACGTAAGTACTTACGCTCTATTTTCTTGTCTATGATTTTGCTCGAAAGGCCGTCCATGATTGGCTGATGAACTTACGATCTCTTAACTTTTTTTGAAAGTATAGGCCCTGGACACTTTGCCGATTTCGACCAGAATTTGCCCAAGTTACTGGATTAGATCCCTCAGTTGCTGCTTCAATCTTGATCTAATTTACCACTCAGCTCCTTGAGCAAAGATGAAATGTTTAAAAAATTAGATCAGTACTCACTGCAATGAGTTACAGAGAGCGCATTTTCTCGTCGACGAAAACATGAAGTCACGGACAGACGGACGGACGGACATGACGAGCACAATAGCGCCTTTTTTTCATAAATTAGAAAATGCGCTAAACATATAACTCAGTTCTCACTGCAGTGAGTGACAGAGAGGGCATTTTGTCGTCGACGAAAACGTGAAGTCACGGACAGACGGACATGACGAGCACAATAGTATAGGGCATATTTTCCGTAAATGATAAAATACGCTACAAATATAGTTGGAATAATCCTGACCTTGTGACTGGAATTAGTTAGGAGGAAACAGTTACGGGAGTGTACTCACCGTTCTGGTCTTCAGAGTCTGAGGTGGAGATGGAGCCTCGGCGCTCCGAGTCTCTCCTCTCCTTGCGCTCACGTCTCTTGGCCCACTTGAGCTTCTCCACAGCAGCGCTGCCTGTCTCCACAGCAGCGCTGCCTGTCTCCACAGCAGCGCTGCCTGTCTCCACGTCCTCCACGCTCTCCTCGGCCTCTGACAACCAAACAAACTTATGCATGAGTCACGTCAGTGCTTCACAAAAAGATAATCAACAAACTTGTATGATTATGGATGAAACAGTCAGGTCAGTGCTTCACCTAAATGATAATTAACAAGCTTGTCTAATAGTTCAGTCAGAGTATAATAATTATCACATGAAACAGGTCAGTGCTGCACTAAAAAATAATTAACAAGCTTATCTAATAGTTCAGTCATAGTATAATAATTATCACTTGAATTATTACTTATAACAATGTTATAAGACTGAACAGGTGCACACAAAGTCCTTTCTGATTAAGGAAATCTACAAGTGAAGATTCACTTCACTGATACAAAAGCCCTAATGTATTCCATCAAATGCACTAAATTAATATGAAATTTTCTGCAACTATATCGCATGTTACTGCATTAGTTGATAGCAAATACAATTTTTCATTCCAGCCGCCGACGGAAAACTTGAGTGAGAACTACGCAAATTGCCTGACGATATAAGTGATTTAAATCTCGAGTAAATGAAGAAATTAAAAATGAACCGATTCTAAAAAATCCCTGATTTGTGGCCATGAATTATTATTTATTTTATTCGCCTCCCCCTCACCGGCGGTGTGGAAGGAGACCCTGCGCTGGAGTTTGGTGGGCGATGACTCCTCGTGAGGACCTGGCAGGACTGGAGGACTTCTGGCCTTCGTGGTGAAGGACTTGGCGAGGGGGAAGGCTGGGTCGGGGCAGGACGCGAGCAGGTCTTGCAGGTTGCCAGGGCTCGGGTGCGGCATCACAGCGGGGCCATGCGGGGACAACCTGCATCAATTATTATATGCTTTAGTTCTTATCCAGGTGCTAACAGTCATAGGAATATTAATTACAACCTGCATCAATTATATAATTATATAAATGCTTTAGTTCTTAACAATGATACAATAGTCATATGAATATTAATTCAGGTTAGCTCACTATTTAAGGTGAATTAAGTAAGAGGCGGGAGCGTTGTCCAAGCCACAAAAATAAAAGAGTGCAATAGAGCAAAAAAAAATTCCTAAAATATGATTCATCGCAAACGATGGCTGATATAAATCAAATTTTTCTTGAAGCCATATGCTCAAGAATCACCACCAATTAATGAATATTTATGATAATGACATATATAATTGTGATTGAGAATGAAATCATTATGACGAGAAACCTAAGAAAGATAAGAAAAGATTAAAAATTCAATTTAAAAATAATTCTTATAGTCGTAGATATTATGACTAGAAAACTAATAACCACTAGAATAGTTAACGCAAAATAAAAATAATTCTAATAGATTCATGAATGAATTATATAACCTGCTACGTACTTATTGGAGGAGAGAGGGCATGTGGTGAGGGGAGCGAGCGGCGGCACAACGGAGGCGAGGTGGCGGGTGCGGTGGCGGTTGCCCAGCACCAGAATGTGGTGGGGGCCGAGCTTGTGTAGTCTGTACGTGCCCTGGTACACGCTCAGCTGGTCAAACTCCTGCCCAGGCAATATACCCTTCAGTCTGTATATATATACAGACTGCATAATAATAGACTACATAATCTGTATATATACTGCATCTGTATAGACCCTTGTGTAGTCTGTACGAGCCATGGTACACGCTCAGCTGGTCAAACTCCGGCTCAGGAAAGCGAAAAGTCTCGCCTTAAAACCCCGAAAGTCTCGCCTCCAATTTTAACGGCGATAATTCAAACTAAAATGACGGAAGCCACGCCAGCATGAATATATATTAGTGAATGACTGGACAGAAGGCGCACCAGCATGAAAATTTGTGGCTGGATAGAAGGCAGACCTGCATGAAAATACGTCAATTTGTGACAGGACAGAAGGCAGACCTGCATGAAAATACGTCAATTTGTGACAGGACAGAAGGCAGACCTGCATGAAGACACATCAATTTGTGACTGGACAGAAGGCAGACCTGCATGAAGACACGTCAAAGACACGTCAATTTGTGACTGGACAGAAGGCAGACCTGCATGAAGACATCCCTGGCAGTAGTACCGCCGGTAACAAAGTCCAGCGGTATGAGGGAGAGGGCAGCGTTGGGGCAGTGCTGGGAGCGTCGTACGTGCTGCACTACGCGCGTCACCGTCGCCTCCGTCAGGGGCAGCTCCTGCAGTCCTATGGCACACACCTCGTCCAGGACCAGCCACGACAACTGCACGTACAGTGTACTTTATTATTTACGTATTATTATGTACAGTTCACTTAAACGAACGATAACTGCACGTACAGTATACTTTATTATTTACGTATTATTACGCATTTAACACACATTGTTATTTACGTATTGTTACATATTATTACGCACAATACACATTATTATTTACGTATTATTACTTTTATTATGCACAATAAACTTTATTATTTACGTATTATTAGGTATTATTACGCACAATACACTTTATTATTAACGTATTATTTTGAACAGTAACTGTATTATTTACGTATTATTACACACAATACGCTTTATTATTTACGTATTATTACACATAATTCACTTTATTATTTACTTAGCACGTATTATTATCATTAATCACAAACATTATTATACAGCTCACGGATATTCAGGGAAAGTGCTTATACACAGACCACAACTGCACTCTTAATCAAGATTTAAATTCAAGATAAAAAATAATAACAAGATTATTTAAAAGAAAAATGCTTGCACACATTTTTGAACTTATCTAAAATATTTTTTATATCACATTTATCAGTTTCAAATATTTTTCACATATTTATATGAAATATTTTTCCCGTAACGAATTTTTTTCGCGATAATAAATAAATAAAAAACTAATTAAAATAATAAATTTTATAATTCATTTTCAAAATGATAATAATTTTTTTCGTAAAAATACATTAAGTTAATATAGTTTCGGGTGACCTGCTGCGTGGTGTTGGTGATGGCCAGACGCTGCTCCTCCGGCAGCAGGTCTATTGGGTCCTCCTCCACACTGCAGCAGAATACGAGTATTGTACAGGCTTTATTTCTTATTGTCATCAGTGGAATACATTTACATATTCAATATGAACAATAATATTGATTGAATGTTTTAGTTCTTAGCGGAGTCGTTGGGAATTTTCCTCCACGCTGCAGCAGAATACGAGTATTACACAGGCTCGACTTCTTGTTATGATTAGTGAAATAGATTTACATATTTAAAATAAACAATAATATTGATTGAATGTTTTAGTTGTTTGCGGAGTCGTTGGAAATTTTTCTAGCAATAGTTTGCTATTTAATTACATTGATATGATTTTGATATGGCATTTATATGGTATTGATATGGCATTCATATGATATTGATATGATATTGCCATGGCATTTATATGATATTGATATGATTGATTGATTTATTTATTTATTCACACAGGAGCACACGTTACAATGAAAAACAAAAAGAGACGTGAAATAAAATAGCAAGGCTTCCAGGTAAACACCCATATAAGCTAAAAAAGCTTCTCAGCAAAATAATAGGTACAAAACTCAATTCCAATGATAACAAGACGATATGATATGATATTGATATGATATTGTTATAGATGAAAAAAGATTAGTTATTTTCAGAATTTTCCGGGATAACTGGAACAGTGAGGTTATTTGATGTGTGCGAAGTTGCGTTGATTGAACCCGTTGATGAAGCGCTCTTATAAACTGAGTTAGTAAACTATTAGATTTGGCAGCACGGTCATGAATTAAGCTATAATGTCGGAGAGTTGAGACGCGTCTGCAACCCTGTTCGACGAAACATTGATAAATTGACCCCAAACTCTGACTTTGTTCAGAGACTTAGAATTATCAAAACATGGGCCCACGGCTACGAAAAAACACTCTGAGAAATCAGTGAAGCTTCTCTAAATAGTAAATATTTACAAGTACAGGTAATACAGAGAGTACTATTTACAAGTACAAGTAATACAGATCGAGAGTAATATTTACAAGTACAAGTAATACAGATCGAGAGTAATATTTACAAGTACAAGTAATACAGATCGAGAGTATTATTTACAAGTACAGTAATACAGAGAGTACTATTTACAAGTACAAGTAACACAGAGAGTACTATTTACAAGTACAAGTAACACAGAGAGTACTATTTACAAGTACAAGTAACACAGAGAGTACTATTTACAAGTACAAGTAACACAGAGAGTACTATTTACAAGTACAAGTAACACAGAGAGTACTATTTACAAGTACAAGTAACACAGAGAGTACTATTTACAAGTACAAGTAACACAGAGAGTACTATTTACAAGTACAAGTAACACAGAGAGTACTATTTACAAGTACAAGTAACACAGAGAGTACTATTTACAAGTACAAGTAACACAGAGAGTACTATTTACAAGTACAAGTAACACAGAGAGTACTATTTACAAGTACAAGTAACACAGAGAGTACTATTTACAAGTACAAGTAACACAGAGAGTACTATTTACAAGTACAAGTAACACAGAGAGTACTATTTACAAGTACAAGTAACACAGAGAGTACTATTTACAAGTACAAGTAACACAGAGAGTACTATTTACAAGTACAAGTAACACAGAGAGTACTATTTACAAGTACAAGTAACACAGAGAGTACTATTTACAAGTACAAGTAACACAGAGAGTACTATTTACAAGTACAAGTAACACAGAGAGTACTATTTACAAGTACAAGTAACACAGAGAGTACTATTTACAAGTACAAGTAACACAGAGAGTACTATTTACAAGTACAAGTAACACAGAGAGTACTATTTACAAGTACAAGTAACACAGAGAGTACTATTTACAAGTACAAGTAACACAGAGAGTACTATTTACAAGTACAAGTAACACAGAGAGTACTATTTACAAGTACAAGTAACACAGAGAGTACTATTTACAAGTACAAGTAACACAGAGAGTACTATTTACAAGTACAAGTAACACAGAGAGTACTATTTACAAGTANATGCTGTAATAATATAAATAAAGGAATAATAAAATAAAATAAATTCAACGTACCGACGCTGCTGACGTCAGATCTGAACTCGATGCTGGCGTCCAGCGGGTCGTCAGCGTCAGGGAAATCGTCGCCCACGCAGCTGTCGCCCCCGTCGCCCACGGCGGCCCAGCTGCTGGCGTCCTCGTCGCCGCCCCCACAGCCGCTCAGAGAGCGCTACCAACAACTTATATTTAAACTGTCTTCAAATCATATATTTTCTCAGCGATAAAAAAATTCACGTCTTATATTTATCATTAAATTTTTAACTTAAATCTCCCGACATAAAGACAGGTTATATTTATATAGGTTGGATTCGCTTCTATACTATATAGCGTGATCAAGTTTAAATGCGTGATGTATATGTATATGTATATGTATGATGAAGGGTATATATAGACTTAACAGACTTAATCTTGCGCTCTGCTAGTCAAGTGATCATGAACTTGGAAATCGATACCTTTTGGGCATCCAATTAATTCCAATTGAAAACGCTAACAGGTAAAAATTAAGCGCTGAAAAAAATGAGAAAATCACTAATAACAGCTTTCCACTCTTACAGTAAATGGCGAATGCCCCGTGTTTTCTTTTCCCGTGTGCATGTCAAGTCATTGTCGGCTGCTAGACAAATACCCGAATATGTTAAAAGTTACAGTGTCTTTCTCATACACCTCTAACTCATATAAGTTCTCACTAGCCAGCTGTAAAGATCGTTAGCTAATGCTGCATTACAAGATGTCAATGTACACCGAAATTAGGGAGAGTATGAAACAGGATACTGCATGCTCAGAATCAAGTTTATTGTTCGCCAACACAGAGCAAGTGGTCAACCGACTAGAAGAAAATTTTCGGGGTTAATTTTGCCTCTAATTTAGAATATATTTTTTATGAATAATCCCTCATATGAATTATCAGAAACCCTCATACTTCAATATAAATAGAGATATGAACGTGCGAGTATTACAGGCTTTAAACTCAATCAATATATACTCGTATGTTGAAATTAATTAGATTTACTTAGTGAAATTTCAGGGATCTCAAGTGCTATGTGTGGATGTGCTCAAGTGCTATGTGTGAATGTGCTTAAGTGCTATGTGTGGATGTGCTCAAGTGCTATGTGTGAATGTGCTCAAGTGCTATGTGTGAATGTGCTCTAGTGCTATGTGTGAATGTGCTCAAGTGCTATGTGTGAATGTGCTCAAGTGCTATGTGTGAATGTGCTC